CACAAAGTAAAGAAAAAGGAAATATTTCCTAACAATCCACTACTCCATGTTCGCTGCTTTAAAATTTTTGCTATCCCATACAATCATTTGAATTCGAGAATTTTTTAAGAAAACTCTTAAAAAGGTAAAACCAAAAATGTGTGAAAATTATTAATCCATAAGGTGTAAAATTCATTAACATAAGAAAAATGCAACTAGTATAACAATAAACAGGAATCATGCAAATAATTTGTCTTTAAAATAGCAAAATAAGTACTTCGACCTCTTTGGGGTGGATAAGAACTCATATACCACTGGATTAGTAGTAAACACAGACGTCAAACATTTTAAAATCTATTTTATTCTTCTATATCTAGTTTAAAAATATCAGAAATACTATACGTGGGATGAAGTTTCCCAAACCGAACCCTACAGAAATACATGAATTGTACACCCAACTCTTTTTTTGTTTATACATGGTCTTTTTTACTCGACTTTTAAATAACACGGTACCGGTACATGAATTGAACGAATTTTTTGCTCTAGTATGAATCTCAAAAAAATTTGGGGACTCGTGGCTTTGGGTGAGGACGGTTTGATCGAGTTTATATATATATGACAGCTTATGATAATAAAGAAGTCGAAGGTGTGAAAGGCAGCTATTTATAGATGATTTAATTTGGGAGGGGGGGGAGCTTGAAGTTTGTTTAAAGTATGGAACATTTTATTATTCATGGTCCTGACATAAAGCGTGCATGAGGAGCATATCAAAAATTATATAATCAACTTGAGAAACAAACAAACAAGCAAACAAAAACAAAAACAGCCGCTAATAAGACTTTGTAAAAAAATCTTTCTGGCATTGCCCATGGGAAATAGACCTCGAGGCAGACCCCGTTAAGATGGATTGACTGTGTTGAGAAGGACCTAAAAATTTCAAAGGTCAAAAACAGGAAATAAGTTGCCAAAAGTAAGGATGTCTGGAAAAGACTTCTGGGGAGGGCCAAGGCTGTCGAGCCATTGAAGAAGAAGAATAAGACTTTGTAAAAAAACAGAGGCCGTTAATTTATGAACGAAATTTTTCATTTAAATCAAAACCGACAGCTGTATTTGACGTATCTGACTCATGTACTGGTGATAGCATCTTTGATCCAGTTCGTAATAAATCTGACGCTTGTCATCAAGTTGCGATGAATAGTTGTTTATATATATATATATATATATATATATATTATATATATATATGTGGGAGACAACAAGGGTCCAATACGTTTCTCTTTCTTATGGTTTATTTAACATTAAACAAAAATTAATTAAAAAGGTAGATAAGTTTTTACAATAAGTTTGACGATGATTTCAGAAGGTAACGCCTGCTCGCGCACCTCTCGCGTTCTCCTTCGCTGCTTCTCTCTTTTTCTGCTCTATGTCCATTTAGTTTCATTTCAATGCGCCTGCGCGCGAAGACTGCGTTGCTTTTGGTTTAAAAATAATACTTTAATCATAATCGTTCTTTTGTTAACTCTTTTTCCTAATATTTACACAAGCTTTAATTCTTTGGTTTAAAAATAATACTTTAATCATAATCGTAAATCCCTGTCCCGCCCATTTCATCCAATTAGAACTACTATCTATATATATATAAGACGCATTTGTTGTCTGTTTGTCTGTTCCCTCATAACTCAAGATCCAGACAACCAAATAACGAGAAATTTGGTACACGTGCACAAAATTACACGAGGAAGGTTCTTAAATAGGTTTGGCGTTCATAATTCTTTCCGAATTTTTTAAAATTTAATTTTTAAGTGATTTTCCAGTGTTATGACGTCATATCATGTCACGTTTCTCAGTAAGTGGACAATTTATACTTTACATGCAGTTTTTCAAGATTATTACATATTTTTACTGTAGCTATGTTAATCAGTTGGAATATTTATTCAATTTTTCTATTCTTTGATATTTAATTAGGATTATTTTTCGAATGAATCATTTTTTTAAGGATTCAACTAAAATTTTGTTTTGTTGTTTTGGCAACATTTAGGTATTATCGCGGGATGTTTATGTGTGTGATTTTGCTTAAAAATTACAACTTACAATTTTAGTATTTTTTCGGAAAATTTATTTATTTCTTTAGAATGCGAAGGTTATAATTTTTGACAAACTAAAACTTCTTATTGATAATGGTATTTCAGTTCTTATTACTGTGATTAACATAAGTATAGTATTTCCGTTTTCGTTATCTATTTTAGATAGTATGAAATTAATAATATTTTGCAATTTTATGTGTCTTTATTTTAACCTTTAAGGGTATACTATTGGCTTCAGTGTATAAAATTGCCTTGCAGAAAATCAAACTTGGGTAATTATACTGCCCAAGAGAAAACAGTGTTGGTAGTCATTACATATCAAACTGGAATAAGCATCAGAGAATGAGTAAAACAGACAAATGGCTTAAATACCTGTTGAGGAAGCAGGTAGTCGTAAGATACATTATTTTTGGAACTTTTGTACTATCCTAACAATCACCAACGTTCAAAATAACTTGTCAGGTTGGCAACCCCGATTTCGCATGTCATATATATGCTGAATTGTGAGTCGTGCTTTGTTTCATATTTCGCCAATAGGTTGCGGTTATATGTAAGTACCTTATTTTTTCAAATTATGCTTTTGCATTGATAAAGTTAGTTCAGTTCTTTTTATGTCAGTTAATGTTAGTATTGTACTTCAATTTATTTTTATTATCGGGATATATATACACTTTGGATAATTTTTTTATTTAGTACTAATGTATTATTTCACAATCACCAACGTTCAAGACAACTCGCCACTTTGGCAATCCCAGCTTTGTGTGCGTTGAATTGGCAATCATGTACTTCATTTTGTATAATGTCACCAATAGGTTGCGATAATACATAAGTACCTCTAATTCTGTACATTACTATAACATTAGACTGGCCGCAACATACCAATTTGGCGTGATTTAAAAATCATGCCAAAAAAAGAGTATGTTGAGGAAGCAGGTAGTCGTAAGATAAATTATTTTTGTTGCTTATGTACTATCCTAACAATCTCCAACGTTCAAAATAACTTGCCAAGTTGGCAACCCCGATTTCGCATGTCATATATATGCTGAATTGTGAGTCATGTGCTTCGTTTCATATAATGTCGCCAATAGGTTACCATATTTTTTCAAATTATGCTTTTGCATTGATAAAAAGTTAGTTCACTTCTTTTTATGTCAGTTAATGTTAGTATTGTACTTCATTTTTCAATTTATTTTTATTATCGGGATATATATACTTTGGATAATAATATAAATTTTTTTTGTAGCAAAAACGAATTATTTACGTTTTATAAATATGTAACATGGACATTATTATTACTTATTTTGCACTGTTTTTTGGGAAAATATTTAGATTTTTCATCTTACGTGACTTTAAGATTCGATTCCCAAACTCACCATATATTGCATGTAATTTTTTAGATGATTTTTTTGCATGGTTTTCTAAGGAACGTATCTACCGTTTTAAAAAAAAGTTCGGTATATTTAGAATGCAAGCTTCTATGCAGTTAAGTTTGAAGGATGCAGTAGGACGACTCAGGAGCTTCACCTAAATCAATTGTGCTCTAAGTATTAATAACTTGAGAACACTAACAATTCGCTTTACTCTACTTTTTATTCTTTTTCATGATATTCTCACAAGGGAATTCTCTCTATTATCTCTAAATCTCCATTTCATATCTGTTGAAATAGCAATGACTTGCTTGTATATATCACCTCAGGCGTCCTCCCATTGGTGTGGTGTGGTAGTAAGGAGAGGGAATGTTAGCTCATCTGTCGTCCTCGTCACTTGATCATGGCTCAAAATTATGCTGTCCGTCGCCAAAAGCCCTTGTGTAGCTAGCTGAGCAGTGTGACGTAAATATTCACTCCCTCCCTCACCGTATGTATCACGATTCCTTCTTGAGATATTCTCCATTAACGTCATAAAGAAATTCCAAATGTGTCAAGGGAAAATATTCACTAAATAATTTTACAGTTCAGGCGAATTAAATTTGAGTCATGAAATAAAATAAATTAAAAATTCCAGCTCGGGTTTTCACAATAACAACGTTATATTAGACCACGAAAATATTTTGTGCTTTTCATACAAAATTAATTAAACCTTGAAAACTATCTAATCCAAATAAAAGAAATTGCAATAATAACGCTAAAAGCATCCAAATACACTAAAATTTGATACACAAAAGTTAACCCGCCTCCCGGACAAAAAAAAAAAAGGATTGTAATTATTTTTCAAACAAGGAAGAACTTTCTCAATTTTAAAAATCTAATAGTATCCAATTTCTTCTATTTAGGATAATAAGAGAGGAAGGGGAAGACTCACTTCGAAATCTTTCTGGCAAAAACATGTATTATATATCTATAAAAACCTTTAATAAGATATTACATTTTTGTTTTCTGATATATATATTCTATCTTCTCATTCTTTCGTTACTTATTATTTTTTTTATAAACCCACAAGTATTTCCTAGAAATTCTATTTTTAGAGAGAGAGTACTTGAAGAAATTCCACATAATTAAAGATGACCATTTCTCAATTTTTATTCTCATGCAGTTAAGTTCTAAACTTTTATTATTTTTAGTTTTCAATGAGTTTTAGATTTAAAACAAGTAAAATAAAAAAAACTTTTATAAGTCAATTCCTACTTAGGTCAACAAAGAAAATTTTTATTTTAGTTAATTTTATTAAATAGTTACAATTAGTATAAATATGTATATACATATGACTGAATCACACAATATTAAGTAACAAAATAGAAAGCGATTTTCCTTGCAACTTTCCCATTTTCCTTTCTAAATATGGAGTTGGACTATATATATATATATATATATATTTTATATTTATATATATATATATATATATATATATATTATTTTGTTACTATTTATTCGTTAATTAAATTTAATTATTCTAATAAAATAGCATAGTAAAAAAGAAATCACATTATCGGAAATAGGCCATCCCAGTTGGTATTCGAATCCATGACCTTTAGATTTGAAGTTCAACGCGCTATCCCTTGCGCTACAGGGACACGACGAACGATTTTCCTTTCTATACATGTTGTTGGACTTATTTTTGTTTGGTACTATTTATTCATTTTTTAATTTAATTAATGAATGAATGTTTGAAAAAACTGTATTAACATCAAGTGTCATCCACTACAAGTTTAAAAAATGTATTCGAATTTGAATGGATAAATAGAAAGTATTTTATTAACGATTGAAAATTTGAATCACACACACACATAGGGAGAGTGTGAACTAATAGTAGGAATTGAAAAATGTCTTTAATAACAAATGCGAAGAGTGGTGAAAATCCCAAAATATAGTCGCTTATTAGGCTGGCAAATGTTTCGAGCCTTTATCAGTCAAATAAAGGTTTAGCTAAGGAAGGAAAAATAAAGTAAAGGACAAATCACGCATATCTGTAGAAAAGTGAATCTTTAAGAAGGTAATGTTTTAGTACGATATAATACGATGTCTAATAACGATTTATTTTGCAATTTGTAACCGTGTGACGAGGATGACACCTAAGCAGGTACCCCCCTCTCGAAAATGAGTTCTTCGGAGCATAATTTAAATCTGCATTAGGCCTTTGCTTTATGGAAAAAATAACAGAATTTAAATTTCAGTTTTTTGCGAAGTAAATAGTTAATCAGCTCAAAAAATGGAGATGGTACAAAAGCCAGTCAAAATATCAATGAAGTATGCAGGAAAAAATCAAAAAACTAAATGTATGTACCATCAAATTAATGCCTTTATTCCCAAATTTTTTACAGGTAGTTTTGTTTTAAAATTTCGGACACTGCATTAAATAGATGAAAATAATTTACATGGTTTTCTTTCAAAGATATTACAATAAAACTTTTTTAACACAAAAACAATGTGTTTCAAAGTTTGACATGTAATAAAAACAATCGAAGATAGAACACACACAGTTGAAACTAAAATGAATTAATTGTTAAAATAATAATGGCACGACAAACACCTAAAATACCAATATCTGAAAACAAATCTCGCAGAGAAAGTAGAATCGATAAATTGTAATTTTCACGACTATATGTGGGTGGTGTATCAGAACTATAGTGCAATATAATTTCGTTGATAGTTCTCTGAACCAGAAAAATGAGAAATTGCCAGCGACTTATAGTACCAATTATCACACAAAAACAAATACTTAAGCTTTCAAATGAGAGAATTCTTGATGTGAAAAATTAAGATTTGAAATTTTATGAAAGCAAAGATATACATCATATTTTTTCCCATTAAAATAATTTAAATCTAAATAAAAATTCTATATTACAACAGAAGTCCAGAAAAGATAAAAATTCTTAAACTCCACAGATTTTTTAGCCTACGAAATAAGTTTCTGCCTCTATAATCAAGAAAAACGCGCTTGAATAAACAAACATTAAGTGCTAGTTCATACATTTTTCTATATCGAACATATTAAATGTTAAAGAGAAGTTAAAGTGAGAAGTTAAGAAATGTTAAAGTCAAAACATACTTGAATAAACAGTAACACTGATAAACAGAGGGAGTTTTCTAAGAAAATTTTTTTTAAAGAAAATGTTTGAATTATATTCACTTATAGATGAATAGAGGCGTAAATATGGGGAGGAGGGCACGATAATAACTCAGCTAGGTATCAATGTTTTCGAAAGAAACGAAAAATTATTTTTTGTTTTTTTGTATAAAAATCCATTTCAAAACTTCAAAAAGGAGGAAATAAAATTTCAATCTGAATACATATGTACATAAAATCGATTTCAAAGTTTCCGGAAATTTAAGTTTACTTAGTGCTAATGACTTTTTTTTTTTTTGCTTTTGGAGAATAATTGAAAGTAATAATATTAAAAGAAATATAAACTGTGTACGTTCAATTTTAATAGAAGAGCTTTTTAGGGGAAGAAAGTATTCCCTTTTTTCCTCGGATTCAGCAACAAATAGGCAAATAAAAAAATAGACATTTTTTCAAAGGTAAATTAATTTACGTTTTCTGTTATAAAATTATTTTTCGCAAGTCTTATTATAAGGATTTATAATTAAAATAAAAAAAAATGAAACCGGTTTATTACTTATTTTATAGAAAAATCAATAATTCATTTCAGATGTGTACATTTTTCCTTTATTTGATCTTCAGCTTATTTTGACTCTTTTGAAAAAGATGCAAGAATATTTTCTTTGAATTTAATTTGAAAATTTAAAATAGTATTAGAAAGATGACAGAGTCAATATTTTAATATAAACGCATTTAAAGACGGATAAAAGAACGGGACAAGAAAAATACATCACTTCAAATAGTAAAAACAGTTTTAAAACCATTCTGTCAGACTTTTTAATTAAGTGATTTACATGTAAAAGAAACTCAATTCAATACTTAAGTAATAATTACAGTTAACCAAGTGAATTATTAAAACTACGGTATGAGATTTACCTTGGTCTTTGTATATATTTCATGTTATCACATGTAAACCTAAGCAAAGAACATATTCATTATCACACTCTTAGATACTGAAGTTTTTTTTTTTTTTTTTTTTTTTTGGAAACGGTGTATATGTCATTGTATTATTCTTATTTTGAAACGGTGTTATGTCACAGGGAAATGATGAAATTAGGGATTTGGTCATATCCCTCAGGTATGTTATTAATTCACGGAAGATGTTAAAATAACAACTGTATGGGATAAAATCCCTGTCGCTTTAGTGAAAAGATGAAAAAATTATGTTAAAAGAGTTTAAATGTGTTTATTTAGTAAATTGTGCACTATTAAATGTAGAGTAAGTAATACAATAGTCATTGAAATACGAATTATTTATCTGAAACTAATTACCAAAAGAAATACACTCATGGACAAAAAAATTAGAGCACAAAGAAATAATTGCGGGATCGTAACGAAACTTGGCATGAAGGTACATGTCGGGGAGATATACAAATAATTAGAAATGCAGCGTGATTGCGCATTACGTATAGCCGGTAGAGGGCGTTTAACGCCATTCTCCGTGGAGTATAAAACATGTAACGAAAGCTTGTTTGAGTGTGCTGAATCGCTTGCAAAGGAAGAGCTGAGGTAGGCATGCCATTACGCCGTTTTCGAAGACAATATGAGCAGCTGTCGCAGTTTGAGAGGGGGAGAATCATCGGCATGATGGAAGCTGGTGGTCAGCTAAGCGAGTAGCTCGTCAATTAGGCCACTCTGATTGTGTTGTGAGGAGGTGTTGGGACCAGTGGATCCGAGAGATGTCATTTGCACGAAGACCAGGCTCAGGAAGCCCTCGATAGACCAGTTGTCGAGAAGACTGCCACATTCTAAGAAATGCAAGCGTACAGCCAATTGCTTCATCGGCCGCTATCCAGGCACAGGTAGCACCTTCATTAGGAGCCCCTGTGTCTTCTCGAATCATACGAAGGCGTCTGGCTGAAGGACATTTGGGATCGCGGCGCCCATTACGTGTGCTGTCCTTGACGCCCACCTATCGACGCCTCCGTTTGGGGTGGTGCCGCGCACGAGGAAACTGTACTGCAGCGAAATGGAACCAGGTCGTCTTTAGCGACGAATCCAGATTCAATCTCAGCAGTGATGACAATCATGTTCGTGCGTGAAGACCCCGTGGTGAATGCCTCAATCCTGCCTTTGCTTTACAGCGACACACCGCTCCCGCAGCTGGTGTTATGGGGTGCCATTGCCTACAATACACGGTCACCCTTAGTATTGATCTGTGGCACCATGACATCTTGCAACCACATGTGTTGCCATTCATGCAACGGCTCCCAGGAGCCGTTTTTCAACAAGACAATGCTCGGCCTCCGCACTGTTACTACCCTTCCTTAGCCTGCCCGATCGCCAGATTTGTCTGCAATCGAGCATATCTGGGATCATTTGGGATGGCTAGTTGGGTATCCCACGAGTTTGAACGAACTAGAGGCAAGATTACAGCAAATATGGATATCTAAAATTTCGTTTCATTTTGACGACTCCTTTTTGGTGTGCTAATTTTTTTGTCCATGAGTGTAGATACTTAAGCTGATATTTTTAGAAACAAAAATGATATTTTGAAGTTTACTTGCATCAAAAGGGGAAACAGAGTCAGTGATAATAAAATAGGTTGTGTTTTTTGTAGAATGCAATCTAATGGAGTCCATTCGTCTGACTTTTGTAAAAATACGGTGCACGTAATTTATGGAAATACATTAGAAGGATATGAATCGAAAATTCTCTGATATTTATGTCACAACTAAAAGAGGATCAAAGATCATGAAAAAAAATGTTTAAAATTTTGCTAAAAATATCAGTTTGAGCAAGGCTGGATCTACGTATGGGCTAAATGGGCTGCAGCCCAAGAGCCCCGGGGTTCTGGGGCCCCCGCTCCTCTTTGAAGATAACAATCAGAAAAAGATGCTTACATTCAAAATAGTAATGAAATAATAAACCAGTAACAAAGTGCAAATCAGAAATAAAATACCCGAAATGCCGTATCAAATTTATTTTTATTTTCGAGAGCAAGAGCAATTTACTTTTGTTCTTCCTCCCTACCACCAAATACGTGGAAATTAATAATTTATAGACATAGGCTCTATCATAGAGCGGCACCGACGAGCATCGAGCATTTATACCAGTGATTCCCTATGTGGTCTATATGGACCCCCAGGGGTCGATGACGAATTACAAGGTGAAAAAAACAATGACAAAAAATTGGCGGGGGTGGGAGGGTACATGAAGCCTAAATATGGGTCTACGACAGCATCTTCTGGATTCTTTTTTCCTCGTGTTTACATGGACATTGAAATGTTTCTGGTTTATGTGTTTACACTTTTTTTTTGCAACTTTCTCCCATTCCTATAGTGGGGTCACAACGGACATTCCTAACGCCCACAGGATGTCGGTGTCATATAATTAAAAAGAGACGGGGGAGCTTTTTTGGAAGATAGAGACCTACACAGTAGATATTTCATTTTACTCCTGAGGGTTACTTTAAAATAAGCGGTTGTGATTTATACCATCAGAAGACTCATTTTCAAATTGGCCAGCTGA